TGGGATCTGCACACCATCCTCTGAAGCGCTCTCAGGCACATATCTGTGGCAGTAATGGGGTGACTGCTGGCACCTTTTCCTATCATTTTTTGCCTTGTGGTATTCTGCTTGTGGTGTGATCTGTCTTTTTTGTGGTGTGGCATGATTGTGTTATTGGGTTTGTTTCTTTTGAAGGGGAAGTGATGTGTTGTGAGTGAGGACATATTTTACTTCAAAGTACAACAGGTCCCATATTCAACTGAGAATTGCAACTGTCTTGGGGGGGGGGAGTTTGAGGTGTGGAATGGAGTGAAGTCCAATCAGCTTCCATATGCAAATGACCTTGAAATGCTGGCCCAATCAGAAAAGAGTGGACTGAAGTGGCCCAGCCGTAGAAGCCCTGTCCCTGCACTCAGTCTGCAGATGGTCCTCACCTGTCAGAGGCCCAGAGCAGACTGAGCCAATGACGTGGGCAGGACTACACAAAGCAGCCAGTCAACCCAGCCAGCGTCTTCTGACTGACAGTTCAAGCTTCCAAACACTGTTGGTGTGCATTTGGAATGTTGGGTCCCCCTATGCCTTTATATATAAGGGAGAGATTATTTATACATGTAAAATCCTCCCAGACTACCCTGTTAATGTGTATTGTAATACTTCAGGTTTTATTAAGTTTCTTGTTAGTGTTGTATTGTAAAAGACAATTAGGAAACTGTATAGTTTGTACTTTTTTTTAGTGCATATAGAATATAACATCTGAATTGGGAGATCCTACATTCTTTGAACATGATGTCCTCTCTAACCTTGCACTATATAGAACCCACTTTGTATTGGATTCTGAACTACATGTTCATGGAGATACTTTAGTGATTTTGTGTAGTGTGGTAGAGTAGCAAACCCAGAAGAAGAGAAACCATTCTCTTCATAGAAAAGTAAGGCAAAGGGAAACTTGCCAAGAACACATGGTGTCTGAAGTCTCTTGGTACAAATTTGAATTTTCTCTAAAGATCTACCAAGCCATTGAATTACTCTGTTCTCCTTTTCTCCTTACTCTCTTGACAGCTCAAATATTTAAAGATACTGACTACAGTTCTTTTACTGTTCCTTAAAGGAAGTGCCTACTTAAAGTGTAAGCTAATTCTACACAATAATGAATTTAATTAGTAGGATTTAATTACAGAAGAAGCCTTTAGTGTTTCATTTGCTCAAAGATTCATGTTTCTGCCGTTGTGGATTGTTGAGTTCCTCTTCAGTTTGTGGTGGTGTCAGAAGTATATACAAAATGAAGCATGTAGTTCAAATTAATAAAAATCAAGGAGACAGTTTAGGTTTTCCAAGGACAGGAAGCATTTATCTTTGAAAATATTCCAGTCCTTTAAAAGGGGGAGAAAAAACAGTTAATACTAGTTATCCTTAAATATGCACTTAATGATTGCAATATCTAATGCTGGTTTGATCTGTGGTGATTGTTCATTAAGCATGAACCTCAGAACACACATGCAACATCATATCATCCTACTCACTACTTCTTCTTGACAGCACTTCAGCTGTTTAACTGTGTCCATGCATTTGTGAAGCAGTCCTAAGAATTCCAGAAGGGTGGTTAGAAAAATAATAGGAGTCTTGGAGTGCCTAAATAACAAAACTTTATTCCAGGATAAGCTTTCCTGTATTGGAGCCTACTGCTTCATATAAACAAAAATATCTATGTGACCTTGGCTTTTTAATGTCATTTCTGTGCCATTTGTGAAACGATTTGATGGCAAAAAACAAAACTAGCCTCTAACAAACTCTTTAATCTTTCCCCTGATTTCTGTTTTCTTAATTCTCTCACTGTCCAGTTCAGCCGTCCTAAAATCTGGGGTGGTGATTTGGGATGCTTTAATTAAAATTTAGTACTTATTACCAGAAATACAATAAAAACCTGTAAGTGAACATTTTAGCCTTCCAGGTACCTCCATCAGTGATGTCATTGTGATCATCTCTGGTGGAGTATGAAGAGGCAGATCAGAAGTTTATGCTTCATACATTCTTATCCTGCCCTTTCACCAAGGACCTCGGTGGCATGTACATCATGTCCCCTCCATTTTATCCTCATAACAACCCTTTAAGTTATGTTAGGCTGAGAGTGTAACTGGCCCACAGTCACTGAGACAGCTTTATGGCAGAGTTAGGATTTGAATCTCCCATATTCTAGACCAGCACTCTAGAATTTGACTTACTGTGTCAACCAGTGTTTAAAGAGGGCGTATAAAGACTGAATGTGACATCTCTCCCATGTTTGTAGTACAGATTACTGTCCCTTTTAAAAATAAAAATCAATTAACTGCCTGCTGTCAGCTGTTCCACTTTTGCTTCTGATGAAATAAATTGTAAGCTTGATTAGCTTATGCCATATAGAAACGAATAGCTGGAACTGTTTCTGGATAACTCTTAGTATTTTGGTAATATCAAGTGTGTCCTCTCAGGTCTCCACCATCTGCTTTACATTACCCCCTTTCTTTTGCTGTGTGCTCCTCTACCTCCTGCTCTCCCTTCTGTATTCCTCTGTGCCCATTCATTTTTGCCTTTCCTGAACTTCCACCAAGTTTCCTGCCCAGCCTTTTTATTTCCAGGTCCATATAACTGCCCTTTTAAAATGAAAGTCCATCTTCTATTTATTTTCATTCTGCACCCAAAACTATAGATATTACTTGATAGTTCCTTAAGTGCACTGCTCTGCAAAAAAAAATATGTATTCTTGTTAGGAGCCTACCAGATGACAAGACAAAAATTAACAAACATAGCCATGATAATTGAATATGTAAGAAAAAATATTACGAATTAAAACATTGCTAGTAAATTGTACAGAATACAATCCCAAGCATTTAGCCATAATCTAAAATCGAACCGGGGGGGGGGGAATCTTTAAAGCACCTGGCATTTCCAATTAACTAGTGACTGTATCTTTCCAAAAAGATTTCATGTTTGAAGTATGCCTAACAATATCAAGACTTCAGTTAACAAGAATGTGGACCATTTTTCAGTGAACATATCAAACTATAAATGAGCTTTAGAACAGTGGAAATGAAAAGTTAAGTGCTTCATCAATGCTTTACCCCATGATGTCTTGTATTGTGACCTCAACATGATTGTTTTCCTGTTTCTAGTCTTGCATGAGGAATACAGGAGAGTATAAAATTTTTATACACCAAATATTTATTTTGGCCTGAAAAAATTTCCTGATAACAATAGACATGAATCGGGGATGACATTCTGTCTAGAATGTTCTGAACCTGATTCTAGATCTTACCTTCCAGCAATAGCAAGACTGTCTTGGAAATTAGATTTCAGTTTCAGTGATGAGTAGTGAATACTGAAGATTCGTTTGCAGTGGTATGTAATAAAAATGCACACATCATTGTGGAGCTAGGAAAATGCATACTTTTGGAGTTGCCCTGTGGTGTTTGGCTCAGCTGACTTGCTCATGTGAGTTAGCTTTGTGTGCATTTCCAGTTCTCATACTGTCTGCTTGTAGTATGTACGACCGCACTGGCTGTAATGCACAGGATATGTACTTGGTAGGGCTTCCACAACTAGCATGCAAACAGCTTTCTGGTTAGTGACTTCATCTACACCGTACCTTTCTCCTAATGGAATCTCAAATTGGCTTGTGTTGTTCTTCTTTCTTCCATTTTATCCTCACAATAACCCTGCAAGTTAGGTTAAACTGAGACTGTGTGACTGGTCCAGGTCACCCAGCAAGCTTCCATGGTAGAGTGGGAATTCAAACCTGGGAATCCCAAATCCTAGTCTGACACTCTAACCATTGCCATGCTGGCTTAGTGCTAAGGTGCTTTTAACTCATCAGAATTGCTGCTGTGCAGACAAATGCACTAGTGTTGTTCTTTGGAGTAAGAGTACTGTTGGAGAGCCCACTAAGAATCTCTTGCCTTGGAACTCCTAAAAACCTAAAGCCCATCCTGAATGTTGAATGTATGTGACATCTATACTGAAAGTGGCCTCAGATATTTACTGTGGTATTTAGTCAATGAACCAATGCTTTCAAATGTTAGAAAAGTTCCTATTAGTTGCGATTTGGGGGGGGGGGATCAGTTTGTGGGTGGCAAGTACATTGGGAGAAGAGGCATTCTTTCTCTCACACCTGAAGGAATGTGTCTTCTAAAGTGGTGCCCGCAGACAATTGCAATGCTTTTCTCCTTCAGAACTGTTACTTCATTCATGTGCAAAATTTGTTGATATATAATTGGTTAAAGCTCATGCAATTAATTGACTAAGATTTCTTTAATCAGTGGTACTTCCAGCAGTTACTGTGTGTCATTGTTTTGGACATGGAGCTCCGTAATTATTTTTCAACATAGCAGTGAAGGTAACAATAAGCTTACTGGGAAGATTAAGTGTCTGCTTTTGAGAAACAAATAAGAAAACATCATGGTCATCTATTTAGTTCATGTTTTTGCGTAGTAGGGTAATGGGCTCCAATCTGGACCCATTCACACCAGATTAGACAGTGTACAGTTGAATGCAAACAAGACCATTTCAGCCACTGCTGTTGCCATGGTTACCAGAACTGAGCAATACTGCCTTGCCACACATTCTAATGTGAGACAGTTGCAGCCAAATTTAGGCAGACCAGATTTGTCACAGTGTTCTGACTTTCAGTCAATAAATTGTCTGGCTTTATCTCAGCAGCTCATTTAGAATAAGTGCCACATAGATGGGGTCTCTAAAAAACCCATTCCCTATGGTCTGTCAGCTAGGTTTTGGCTTTCTGTGTTCATATAGAATTTGTCAGAATGTTTTGAAACCAGTCAGGGCTGTTGCATAATCAGTACATTTGGACATGCCGGATAGAATCCCACTATAATTGTTGGAAGAATTGAAGAATGTAAATTAAACATTGTTGAGGATCATGCACTTAGCTAGATTGGGTGAAGAGACTGAATAATGCAAATGATAGCACTGTGGCTCAGTTTAGCTTGGGAAAAATTAATTTCTCCCCCCCCCTTTCTCCTCTGTTTCAGTAATAGTTATGCCCGTGTGCGAGCTGTGGTGATGACCCGTGATGATTCAAGTGGTGGATGGTTACCACTTGGAGGGGGTGGACTAAGCTGTGTCACCGTTTTCAAAGTCATCCACCAGGAAGAAAATGGCTGTGCTGATTTTCTTGTACATGGGGAGCGCCTCAGGGATAAAACGGTAAAAAAAAACCTATATATTTTTGTGGTGTTAGTGAAAATCCATATTCCTGAGAACTACACTGCAGTCCTAAACAGAGTTACACCCTTCTACACCCATTGATTTCACTGGGTTTAGAAGGGTATGACTCAGTTTACAATTTTCCTGTTAATCTTCAAACAAGTTTATGATGGGAGTGTTTTAACTTTTAGTTGATTTGTTTATATCTTTTAAAAATGTTTTGTTAAATGAATTAGCATTTGGAAACAAACACACACATGTATACATCCTGATTGTCTTGGCAACAGAGACCCCTTTATGATGCGGTTTCATGTTGTTTGGCAGTGTTCTTAAAAGAAGCAACTAACTGTGGCAATAGCCAATATTTCAGTTAATTAAAAATATATATGTTTCATTTCAGAGATTTAAGAGGTATGAAAGCATCTTACAGAACCTCCCAATAATGGTAAAGTACATTCTGTAAGAATTGGAATACAATACTGCTAAAGCTAATATTAAACTACAGTATTGTTATGCCAGACTAGATTTTTGAGGCTAGACTACTTCAAATTAAACTTTCAATAATTTGGGGAAATTTAAGCATAATCTCCAGGTTTAAAGCTGCATGGTGGGAAATAGAACATGCCTATGAGATAAATGCTTTGTGGAAACAGCTTTGTGCCAGAATGAAAGATGAAATGGGTAGTTCCAGGAATTCAACACAATTGTGCCAATTATTGCTTTGGTGTGGAGTTGTTCATAAATGTGATTCCAATTACTGTTCTTTAGCCTTTCTTGCTTCTTATGCAATTGGATACAGCTACCAACCCATACAACTGGCAACCCAGGAGCATTTTAAATATTATCCTTACTGCATGGGAGCCATTTTTCCATGAGTGGCTCCCACATGGCTTGAGTAAATGACCTAACCACATGGGCAGAGGCTGATTAGTTGGGTATTTCCCACAAAAAAAGCAGCCCCTGCTGGCATGAATTTCACAAAAGCCCCACACAGAAAAACAGCTTCCAAAGAATATAACTTTTAAAAGTTCCCCCAGCCACATAGCAAATGGAGTAATTTATCGCCTAAATAATATCTTCCCCATGGAAGCTAAATTGGATTATAAGTCCTTTTTTATTTTGTAGACCTATCCTGTGAGAGTGTTTCCTGTGTTTGTTGTCCCAGTAGAGCAACTCCTAAATGATGCTATCTTTATAAGGATATGGGGGGGGGGTGATGATTTTTCATTAGTGCTAAAAATTGTTAGATTTATTTTCCCCAGTGAATCTTCAGAAGCCCTGTCCTGTGACATGAAACAGCCTGTTCCTTTTTGCTCTGTGTATATGTAAAAACCTTAATGTAGCAGAGCAGTGAAATGGCTGCTTATAACAGGCAACGAAATTGTGGTTATTCAAATACGATTTTTTTGTAAGTGCATATTGTAAGATGCTACCAGGTCTCCAATTGGATACAATGTCCTATAAAAAAAACGTTTTTGTCTTTTGTTTTGCATTGTAGGTTAGTGCAAACCCTTTCCTTCCAATTCTGTAATCCTCCACAGGTGCTTGAAGTGCTCACCTACTTTCATGCACACAATAAACAGAACACCCAACAGCCATCTCTTAGTCACCCTACATATCAGTGTTGAGTATTTCCATGTCAAAAAGAAGCATATTGTTCTTCTGGATCTTTCCTTTCTCCTCCCTTGGGGCAGCAGTTTATTTTACCTGAACAATTTAGAGAGAAAAGAGCAGGGAAGAGAAGCTGCTGTTGGACAAATGAGAAGGATAGAAAGACCTTGGATGATTTGCTTGTTCCCTCTACTAAGGCAAGGCTAACTGCTGTCTCAGGTGCGTAGGAGTTCTCTGTTTTCCACAAGCATTGGTACAAAGTAAGGACTGTGCATGCTCTCCAGCTGATGCAGCTTGTATCTTAATGAGCTGAAGGGAGAGTAAGAACACAGAATGGGAGCTAAGTACATGTTCCCTGATAAATAACGCCTTACCCTTTTTATTCTTCATTAGCGACATTGGAGAGACACCTCACTATATCATTTCCCCCCCATTGGTATTCTTGCATGTATGATATCTGATACTGCATTCTGGGTATTTTTTTAAGTTTTGCCAAACCTTTTGAGTACATGCCACTAGTTCTTCCCATCCGCTGTAATTGGAAATATTCTATAAGAAGTTACCTTGGAACTACTTTCCAGACTAATAGTTAACTTAGTTTGTCTAATAGGCCTGCTGCCCCTGAGGCCCACTGCTCGTTACTTGCTGCCTAAAATAGTTTCAGCTTTCAGAGATGCAGATGATGTTTTATGTGTTATTTCACATGTGTTCATGCATGTGCAATATCAAAAGGAATATGGCAGCTGGGACTCAATGCCAGTGGAAACTAAGACCAGACCTACACAGGCAGTAGAATGGTGTGATGGCACAATAAACTCTGTCACTTCAGGCTGCAGTGGTGAGTCACATTTGTAACACTCCCCTACATGAGAAAGCTCCCTGAAAGTAGAAAACTATCAAAACAGGAAGAGGGCCATGCTAGAAACTTCCATTTTGATATGCTAATTTCTGATTTTCAAGGAATTTTTTAATATGGGGGAAAATGAGTATTCTCCAGTGGTCCTGGGGTGGGGCAGTCTGAACCTCTGGAACAAGGTCCTCTGTCTAGGCAGGCAAGGTCACTAGGCAGTGATTCCATTTTTACTTTTAAATTTTAATTAATTTATTTATTTATTTATTTATTAAATTTATACCCCGCCCTCCCCCATAGGGCTCAGGGCGGCTTACAGGGCAAGAAATCTTGCAACAATAAAAAACAT